CCGCCCAAATTTGCTCTGGCTGGTGGCCAAAATTCAAAACTAACTGTATTTTTACCTGGAGTCTGGTTGCATGGACGGGCAAACCTTTCGGGCATCAAAATGATTCCGAGAACAGCCCTATCAATAACAAAGTAGGCCCAGAAAAAATATATGTAGACCACAGGTAGCTGTAACGGCAGGATAGAGCAAGGTAAGGATAAGATATAAGGCATACCTCACGAAGCAATCCCGTTCCTTTGTACACGACAGTGGGTACGAAATGCGCAACATGCGCCTAGCTAGGTTCGAGCTCTCAACCAGCGTGCTTGTGGCCGTTAGAGAATTTTCGAAGATGTCACCAATCAATCAATTTTTTTATACTGCTCTGTGTGTTTTGCTGTAGACCGCTCGCAAGTAAAAATTCGCCGAAGAGCTGTTGCTTCAAGCTGGTTGCTGCATGGGAGCATTGTCGCTGAAACCCTTAGCACGTGTCAGTCATTGCCCAGATCACCTTGTATCTGACTCGGGACCTGAGCCAACAACGAAAACCAATGTGTGGGAGAGCCACACCAAATGGGAGAGAGCGAGGGCAGGCATATCTTTTGTTCCGTCTCAACGCAGTAAGCTCTCCATTGATTGCGCCGCCTCCGCGAACGGCCGATGGTGTTGCTTCCCAACGTGAAGACGTGAAGACAAGGGCATGTCAATGCTACCTACGGGTGGCGGAGGGTAATCGCCCAAGCAGCACCAAACCCACGTCACCTGGTGTATCTTTTGGCTCATTGGCCTCCGCAGCAGTCGGCGCTAGGGTGAGATCGTAGGCAGCGGTGGGACCACTGGTTGGCGCGGCGCTCTGCTGACCGTGCGCAAGCCGTAAAGCCAGGAACAACGATAGTAGGTTGATGCTCGCGAGAAGGATCCGGACTGTCATGGCAGCTTTCGACGGGCCACACGGCCGCACACGTCAGCTGACTCCCTCTGTCTGGTGGGACGAGAGATCCGATTAGAAACAGGTCGTGTGGCTTCGAGAAAGTGGGCAGAGGAGAGAAGACGGAGAGACGGAGAGAGAGGAAAATATATTTTCGTGAAGGATCGCCGCGAATCTGATTGGCAGGAATTATTTTCGGAGATGATGACGTCATCTCGAGGGGAACTGACAGTCTTTCCCAAAAACACACGATGGAGAAAGCCGTAGGATATGTGTGGGATTCAAGCGTTCAAGCTCCTCGAAGCGGAGCAGTGGGAGAGATGAGATTCGTTAGAATCCCTTGCTACACAAAGCTCAACCCGTGGTTTTCTTCACGGTAGTATATGGCCTCCGTCAGTACATCTATTGTGCGTGTCTCACGAGCTCGACTTTTCGGCATGACGATTGTTTTACGGCCGTTGTTTTTTGTATGCATCGTCGTGGCCCGCGCGCGTACAAATCGCCTAAAAAGTGGTCAACACCTTGACCACCTGTGGTCGATTGCGAAGCGTTCCTCTTCCTTCCGATATTATTGACAACGTATAGCCAGTCCATGTGGCGTAGGTCTTGCTTACGCATGCAGCACCTATGCACTGCACCTCGAAACTACATGAAGGCGAAGGCAACCGTTTTTTTTCTATCCACCCACCTTCTGATGTGGTCGAGTCACAATTCATTTTGTCATAACGAGTTACCATCAATGCTGTGATGACCTGTCGAGGTGTTACTACTGCGAAAACGCTTGCCCACTTCGAATGCTACTCTCACCTCTTCCTCCTATGAACGGATTTGCTCCACGATATCAACTGAATTTGGCAAAGTTATTAAAAGTAGTTTACCTAGAACGAGCACGTGCCGGAAACCGCACCCGACCATCCCAGTGAATGACCATCGCCTTGTATGCCACAGGATACTGCCAAGAGCATTTCGCAGGCTCATGCGCTTCTTGAGCACGAACTATGATTTGGAACATCGGTGGAAACACTAACTTGTGAGCTCTCGTGGTCTCCAATCGTTCATGTGTTGCGCTGGACTGCTGCACCTGACCTGTGGTGACCGTTGCTCAAGAGGGACGACACCTGGACTGCTTTGCCTGTCGTTGTTGTCCGACTACAGTCGTGGGCCCGGTTTAGCGGTCCATAGTGTCACGATTTTTTTTATAACCGCTATTCAGGGCATCGCCGCTAAACCACTTTAGCGGTCATTATCCGCTAAACCAGGAGGCTTAATAGCGGTCATGAACCGCTAAACCGGGAAAAAGCCGATTTTTGCCCTACAATAACAGCGTGGAGAGCTGATATTGATAGGGCCATGGGTATCATTGCAGCAGTCATACGAAGGTGCAGATGAAGAAGTAACGAGCCAATGAACGACAACGCCGCAAGCACATTCATTAATGATGCATTTAAATTCGCCAAAGCACGAAGATTATTCTCCCTTCTTAACTGTATGCCCCTCATCAAGACTGGAAAATCGTTCGCGTCTCTAACGAAGTGAAGTAGGTGATAAGCCAAACTTGTGACAACGCAATGGCAATCAACCACGTGCTTGAGCATCTCATTTCTGCCATATGTCGCGTATCGATCATTCTTCACCCAAAGCAATCTCTCTGGTATCTGCCTTGCGCGCTGGAGGAGCGGCGTGCGCTGCGAGGAACGCCATTTATGCCTTGCGAAATAGTGTGCTGCTTCGCTTACGCCACACGACTCCGCGCTCTCCACGCTGGCCAAAATCCGATGATACCTCCGAGTGTGGTGGCGGCGACATCACCCCCCTGCCCTTCGCTCCGTCAAATTGTGCGGTGGTATCAAGGCCTAGCTCTAGGCCGTCGTGTCGTCGTCGGAGGGGTTAGGCCCCCCTCCATGTACATACCGGACAACTTTCAACAACCTAGTCATTCGCGCCCGTTTCCGCAAAGCTTCGGCGATCTCTTCCTGTGCGCACTATTTCTGCGTGCGCTACCTTCTGGTCAAGAAGCTTCAAAACCTCGAGATTCTAGCCAAAGTAGAGCCGCGTGTGGGGCTGTTGTCGTGTAGCTGCAGCGCGAGTTGTTTCTTTCCGCGCGCCTGGTGCTAGAAAGCCACCTAACACCTCTTGGCGCCTGGGCGGATTTGAGAAGTGAGGGGAACTCTGCGCCTTCTTGGTTGTTCGCCGGTTGCATCTCGTTCTCATCCGGAACCTCCACCTCCCCACACACATGCCGCGTATGCGGCCACCACAGCAACCTTTACAATCATGCGCGCCGCTTGGACTCGTGCCGCATCTAGAAGCTTGGACAGTTCTCCATCCACGCGCCGCATGCTGTGTGTCTTTATTGTTAGCATCGACCGCGCTAACCGGCTGACCAATAAAAAGACGCCGTCGTCAGTCTCAGCGCGGTTGAAAACACAAAACCCTTCTATATGTCATTAACTGGGACCTCGTGAGGGGGCGGCATGGGGCAGGAAAAAGCTATTCCCCGGAGTAAAGGGCAGACACGGTAGGTAGCAACAGAGGAAACCTGCCACCTTGCACTCGAGTTCGTTTTGGAGTGTTTTCACCATCATCCTCCTTGCTTTCACCACCATCACTCTCATCGTCGTTTCTTCAGCTATTTTTCGGCGATTCTTCTCTGGCCCTGCGTCGTTTGGTGTATGTGTGTGTGTCTCGCTGTGTCCTTTTTATTATGAGCATCGACCAGCTAACAGGCTGACCAAGTCGCTGTGCTGTGAGTATGTGCAAGCGAAGCGCGCACTACATTCAGGTCCCCGCAAAAATTGAACCGATAACCGCTATTGGTGGCTGCAAACATGTCCAATAACCGCTATTGAGGGCACGACCGGTTTACCGCTAAACCGGGGTGCAGCCGTGTCACGAAATTTTATAACCGCTAGTCAGGGCATCCCGCTAAACAGGGAACCGCTAAACCGGGCCCACGACTGTACACTAAAAAGAAGATACTGCTCCAAAAATCGAAAAAAAGATATGTGAACTACTGCACATACCTAACAGGCATGCCAAGTGCGTAAAATCCACCAAAACATTTTGTACACTTCTACTGTACCATAACCAAAGGATGTTCCTGCACAAACGATTTACGGTCTGGTGACTCTTTAGATCTAACCGGTGCTGAAGGCTACGACACGCCGCGCAAGGCTAGGACACACCGTGGCCGACCTAACCCAACCCAACCCGAACCCGAACCCTCCCCCACGGCCAGCAGCCTAGCGGCGGCGAACTGGGTGAGACCGCGGCTGCGCAGCGTTGAGCCGCGTTCTCGGAATGCGGAACGGCGAGAGGTCGTTGAGGGTCACGGCCAGGGAACAACACCCGACCAATCAGATGGCGTGAAACCGCTTCGATAGGAAGAGTCAACACAACAGACTTAATAACTGACAAACGAGCAGGTTCTGTACAAGACATGCACCGGGCCAGCTTTGCACGCAAGACATGCGTGCAGGACCACGTTTCTCTGGGGCACATCTGCTATTCTAGCTCTGGACCACCCACATCGTAAATATATCGCTCTCAATCCCGCTCCCTCACCATCAAACAAACATTGTGATGCCTCACTCCATGTGCGTATCGCACAGCATTAGTAGAAAGAAAATGTACAACAAGACAACCACCTCTTGGGGCGCAATCTTGCGACTGTTCGTTTTTCCACCCTGCTGGTGATAACAGCTCACAAATCTAGCTCATGTCTGTTCGAAAGTCGTGCTCTCCTGAACGCCCAAACCCCAACTGCTGTTATGTAGTTATTACGAAGAAATCCGAACGACAACACACCACAAAGGTTGTCCGATGAACACAATACTGTGTGTCAGTACACTCCACAGTTCAAAATTATTACGAGGGGACGAAATTGTAAACAGCACGAAAGAAACATTCAATCCCGAACGATTACCGGCTCTGAATGCAGGAACAACGGCCCTCGCAGGGTGGATTGTTGGAGTCGGTTATCCACCAGTCCACGCCATCGCGCTTGCCCGCCTGAACCACCTCGACACCCACGCGTTCCACTCCACTTCTTCCGCCTAAGCGCCCCCATGGGTAGGCAGGTTCGGGGTCAAGACTATAGTTCCATTGAAGAAGAAGAATCGTCGGTGACGTCGAAGGAAGGACTGATTGTGACCTTGGAAGCTTTAAATGCCGCTTCCTTTGCCTGCCGGATCTCTTGCAGCTGCGCCTTTTTCCTTTCCATGTTGACGGGGATAACCTTGGACGACGAAGACGAGTCAACACGACGTGGGAGCTAAAGCGACGAGACGTACAGCCTTGGCTTTGGTATCCAAAGAGACAGGGGATCGTACGAAACAGCCTGAATGGCCATTCTTTCACCTCCTCCACTCTATTTTCGCTGTTGGCCGGAAGCCCCATCAACCTCGAGAAAACAAACCAAAACGTCGAAGAACACTCCCGTACAGCTCCACACTTAGGCACAGGGGCCTCTAAAAACATTTTGGAGATGGATGGAAACTTCGCAACACGCGAGGTGCTAGAGGTCTCACAATCTTGTCTCTGGATATTACAGTAGTTCCTGAACACCGTTACCGGCAACTTAACTGGAGGTGATGAGGGTGTCATCTTCGAGTACACTGGCTCTTTTGCCGTAAAAGAGTGGAAGGATGGGTGCACCTCCCTCGTGATACCACAAAATTCGAAGGGATTTCCGTCGAAGCCGACCCTTCCGTATGACCCGTACGGTGAGCACGTCGACCGAAAGCTGTTCACACAAGCGCCCGGAGACGGCGGGGATGGCGACAAAAGCAACGGTTGAACCCTACCTTCTGCACGGCGTCTTTGACGACACTCTTGGTCTTGTCGAGAAGCGACAGCCTCGAGGCGATGACGGCTTGCTTGAACAGCCGGGCGTACTCCGAGGTGCCGTGGTCGTTGATCCCGTCGATCAGCTCCCCCCTGAAGAGAGCACTCATCCGCCCCAGCAGGCGGTCCCAGACGTTAGAGGTGCTGATGGCACCGCTGTCGGCGGAAGCCAGGTAGGGACGGGGGCAGAAGTGGGTCGAAAATGGTGAAAAAGTTGTTGAAAACGCAGGCGTCGACGCAGGAGGTTTGCGACGAAAACGTCGACGGAAAGACGAAGTTTGCGTCGAAGCCGTCTGTGACCGCTACGAGTTAGTTCCTCTTCCGTGCTGTTGCGAGAATAAACAGGGAAGTTCCGCGGTGATAGGAGAACATCAGTCAGCCTCCAAGCCCACGTAGCACGAAAAGGATAAATGCACAGAGAGCGCTAACCCTAAGACGCAATAAAGAAGTTGCTGTATCATAGAAGAATACGAAGAACGAGCACTGGAACGTGGGGTACACCGTTGTCTTTACGCCCCCCACGAGTAAATCTTTGTGCTATTGACACTTGTCACGACCAGAGCTTGTACGCGGTGGCAAAGGTAGGGGGACTGAGACGGAGGAGACACAGTGAGGCAAATTCGGGGAGGGGGAAGGGGTCGTGAGAGAATACTCCTGAACCATACAACTGCATCCGTGAAAATCGACGGCGGAATCAGCGACCATGGCGTCAATCGTTCGGTGGTACATGCATGCAGGCGGGCACAGGGGCTGATGGTGTTGTGTAGTTGAGTATCAACAAGCGCAAAACCCCTTTACGCAACGGGATGAGCCATCACCCTCAGAACGACCTGCTGTTCTGAGGAGGGGGGGGCAGTGTCTGTCACGACGAGGCAAGAGGTAAGGCCTGACGGCGACAACAAGAATACCCACGGCCGGTAGGTAGCTGCAGGTCACGTGTTGCCACACATAGGGGTGCGTCATCGCTGCACGTACTAACCGTGAGGAGCTGCGACCCGGGGCCACGCAGACAACAACTCCTCTGCGATGCACGCTTTCCAACTTATCGCCAGCACGAACGGTCATACTCCTTGCCAAGAAACGATCCACCCGAACGATACCCACCCACAAGCAAGCGCTTCGCCGAAACAAACTGGGGATAGTAAAGCTGTTCTCACAATCGGTTGAAGTTAACCTCTGTGCCGACGTGCGAGTAAGGAAAAGGAGGGATGCGGGGGACAATGTCGTTGTTGTTCCTGCAGCGGAAGTACTTGTCCTTCAGGGGGGTGCCGTGGTTCATCTTGGCGTCGAACGTCCTGGCCGCCATACCGTCAAAAACCCTGTTTCGGGGAAGAGCAGTCATTGGTGTTGGGTTGTTCGTGGTACAGTAGAGATTCCTGTATAGGGCCGGTAGGTGCCCAAAAAATTCACCGGCACAATACCGGACAGGCACTATTCAAAATATTGAGGATGGTTGGAAGTCAGTGTGTGCCCGCCGAAAACACCGGCATTATACCGGGCACCGGCGCTGTTCAACCGGCACTACACTAGTTATTGTACAACTTAACTAGGAAACCAAACGGAACTTTTGCTTTCAAGCGAACCTGGAGGGTGCACAGCAAAATCAGCAATGCATACGAGCACACTCCAAGCAACGTAACGGTCCACCGAAAGCAGTGGGGCCATGTAGATTATACCGTAGTTACAGGCGCATGCAAGCTTGAAGATGTTCGATTACAAGAGACGCACGTGTTGTGTCGTTGAAGGAGCACAATACCTTGACTGTGTTCGTACACAACAGACAAATGCGTCGTGTCTCAACCGCCCTCCTCGCCGTGCTGTCTCAAGAACTCCAAGAGCTCAAAACCTTCATCGCCGTAGAGTACATCGCCACCCTCATTAACGCCATGGCCGCACAAGCAACGCTACCGTCAACACGAGCGTCGGAAACTAACCCAGCTGGTTCGTTCGTCGAATGGTAGATTCTCTTGGACGTCGTGTCGACCATTGAGCGCCAGCTCAAGTTAGACTACGGTCTACGTCGAGCCTTCTCGTGGTGTAAGTAATGCCCTCCAGATAAGAACGAGTCCAAATGAAATTTCCACCCGGACTAGTTCGTCACAGATCTCAGACCGGCGTTCAAAACGGGAGTGAGTTCGTCATGAGGTCGACGCTGCTCAAAACCGGGGAAGCATATTGTGCGCATAATTCTAGCGTATGGGGCGGTGCGTTTCGGGTTATCCCTGCCACTCTCAAGTCATACGATATGGACCAGTGCGTTGTCGCCAGCATACGCGGGGATCTCCAAGACAAGAAGTTGGGGGATTGGGTGCTAGACTAGTAGGGTGTGTCACCGAGAAGGAGCCGTGGGAAAAATCCCAGTTCCACCACATTACCGCGGGACGTTGTGGTTGCCGTGCTTCTCGTGTAAAGGGTGGTACAATCCCTGTCACGTGAACAAAGTATCTGCAACGCTCATCATGCTCTTCGATTACCGTGATACTCATCACGCAATTATCGCAGTGCTTGTCCGCGACCGTCTCACCGTGGGCTACCAATGGTATAAATCCCTGCGATATTCATGTCGTCCACAAACGACAGGCGGGCCGCGGCGATCGTCGCGAGAGCGCCTCCAAGAGAATGCCCCGCGATGTACAGCTTGCGGCTCTTGCCATGCTCATTGTAGAGGTTCTTGATCGTCTGGTACATACCGTTCTTGCTGGAGGGTAGCCACACCGTGTCGACGCCGTCGTCGAAGCCCTGGCCAATATGATTGGGTCAATCTCACATTATTAATTGCTATTGGAGGTGTACGATCAACAAGTGTCGATGTCGTATGGAGTAGGGGTAGGGGTAAGAACTAAGAGGCGAGGAAAGAAGACACGGGTTCGGGATGGTAAGGCATGAAGTTCAGAGTAAGACTGCCGTCAGAGGTAGTGTGAGGTTACCATGGCATTTCTAGTTGTTTACTCGGGGCACGTCGCACATCGCCGGAGAAAGGAAGTAAGACCCCCGGAGACAGGAATGCATTACCTTCTATTGTTTATGTGTAGATTCTTTCAACTAGTGTACAGCAGGTTTCGATTTGGGGGACATGGGATGAGGGAGAGGGACAAGGGGTTAGACTAGCCTTTCATAGGCGGTATTCCTCCCTACCAACACTGATAACGTAAGTAACTCGACCGTTGTAGCTCCGTTTTATCTCACCCGGTGCAAGTCGCAACCCTCTAGGTCGATTTTCCACTCATTCCGTGCCGATCTTAGCCCCATGTTAAGGTTTGTCGTCCAGTCCGTGAGCTCTTGAGTGCCTCGGAAGACCACCACGATCATGTCATCGTTCGCCGTCACAAACGCCTCCGTGTCGTGGATGGCATCCAGGATCGATCTTCCCGAAACCGCCGGGTCCGCCTGCTGATTCCGAGATAGAAACGTTGACGGAAATACGAAGCAGAACCGATGGCGATATCAAGCGTAGAAGATTTGATGCCGCTGATGTGCATTGCGCGAATGTTTTGAGTAAGACACATGTCTAGATGTCGTGCTGGTTGAATCTATCTAGCGAAACCTTTGGCTCTTGTCGCGCTGCTTTCACCCGGTAAGGTAAGGTTCGGCAGGAACCTTTGCAACAGAAATATCGTCTACGACGGATCTGAAATGGCGATGCCCGGTCCGCCTGTTGAAAGCAGAGCAGAAACGTTGCACTACATGGATGTTCAGCCAAAGTGGATAGAGAACGAGAGGAAAGAGGGGTGTGGGGATGTAGGTAGCACTCACTCGTGGCGGTTACACCCAAACGAACGGCCCCTAAGTTTTCGTCGGATACATGCACACTACGTCGATCACAGCGCGTCGGTCGCCCACTTCAGCGGTACCTGAACGACATGACGGTTACTCTCTACGCCCTTCACGGATACAATACACCGCACACCACACACACGATGGCTACACACGAGAGAAGCTTTGGCAGGGAGGCCGCGAAGAAGGCACGTGCGTGTCTTTCTCTCGCCTCGAACCAATGGAAGCGATCGAACCCCAAGCCCGCGATCGTCTCGTTGCCGGTCAGCATCCCCTGGACCTCGCTCTTTTTCGAATATACCATCTTGCTCATCCTAGCAAAATAGTAGCCGTTTTGCAGGGAAAACGACGTGGCCGAGAGATCCGGCTTAAGCTCCACCTGTCGAACGGCGGCGAGTTGTTCATCGGACGGCGGGAAGGGTTTCGTTTCGGCTTGAGCCCTACTTTTCACACCGGACCTGGGTAGTAGCTGTTTTGGTCAAATACTGTAATATAGGGAACCGTTTGCCGGGGAACCCGTTAGGGCCGTTAGGGGATATAAGCAGTTCTTCTATGGGAATAGACTAGGAGGCCTAGAAATCGAAAATCTTGATTGCAGCAGCAGCAGGTACGTTTCGTAGCCTTCACCTAGGTCAATACCTGCCTAGCACGGGCGTTCGTCGTGGAATAGTAGAGGCGATCACAGTGTTCCCAACAGCGCCTCTGCGCATTGAAGCTCTACGCCAAGCAAAGACGCTGTGATGCACGCAGGGGGGTCCAAGAATGATACAGTAGATGCGTCGAATTAGGGCGAGGGTTAGCGCTAGAAGTACGGCGGGAAGAAACACAGCAAGTACGAACTTCGAGAGGAACCAAAAATGCTGCAGTTGGACAACAAAATAAACATGCTTCCTACGTCCATCTAACCAACCCCAAAACTGAACCGGTATCTGTCGACGCATGTGACCACATTGCCGACGCTGGCAATGGCGATATCATGGGGGCGGAGGTACGCCAAAAGGACAGACAGGACCCTCAATTCTCATGCGCACGTCGACAGATCCATACCCTACATTATACCATATGGCGAAAGAGGCGTGCGAGAATAGAGGCGTGCGATAACAGTTGTTCTCGCACGCGCCGCTGCCCAATAGCATGAACATCTCGTAGCTCAATCGTGTCCCCTTACGCACAAAATTCTAATGTACGCACTGCTCATCGGGGGTAGAGTTACGATCGAAACACACATTGAGATCGACCACGCCGTCAGTCTGTCGCAGTGCACCAAACACCTGATAGGTTTTTTTTTTTCCAAACACCTGGTAGGGTTGTTATTACCGCCTCCGACTGCACAATGTACACTTGAAGTTATCTTGCGACTTTCCTGTACGAAACAAGGACGACGACGGCACCCATTGGGCGGAGTAACTTTCGATGATTTTCCGCACCTCTGACGCGACCTCCACCAAGTTCGCTTCGAACGGGGGGACGATGACTACATCATCTTCGCGTAGGGTACCTCGGGGCTGGCTCTGGGCGCTGTCCGCAAACGACAGACGATATCCATGGGAGGGGCGGGAAGACAGCTAGAGAGTGAGGGGTGGGGGGGGGCACGACGGAACACAGCAGTAAGTGTGCATCGTGTCCGCATTTGTATGTACGCGTGCTGAAATATGCGTTGGACATCGTGGAGGTGCTGTAAGTAGCTGTGGGCAACGCACTCCACATTTTGGTGGTCACCCATCTCGTTTGTCGGACTGGTGTGTATCGTGGGAAGGTAGAAGATGAAAGGTTGGCGTCTACAGTAGATCTTCAACTTTTTGCGTGTTTGGGCAAGTGTTTGGGCGCACAGGGCAAATAGGACGAGGGCGGCCTCTTCCTTCCTTGTTGAGACATGTGTTTAGCTAACAAACAAAAAAACAAGTACACGTGCTGACCCTTGCCGAAAGAGTATCTGGATGCATGGAAAAAGTCGCATTGTGCGTGCCCTGCTGTCTAGCTTGACTACACAGCAGCCACAAGACTATGTACGCACAGCACTGCTGAGGGCAAGGTGAATGAGAAACGTCATGCCAAAATCTGGATCTTTAGACTATTGTACAACAGTTTTCGCTGACTCTTTTCGCTCTTTTCGGTCTGGAACAACGAACGTGATCATAATAAAGCGACTCGTTTTCACCTCTAGCCTAGACTACACGTCGCAACCCCGTTCACGGAGACAAATTTCTGTATGTGACGGAGCCGGGTGTTGGCGCACCGGGAACGCTCACTATTGCGTGATCCACAAAGATGGTATGTGCTCAAAAGAAGAACGAAAAATTATTTCCTCGACCGACCTCGGATGGATCGCTGCTGGTGGCATCGACTCCGCCGTACAGCGGTGATGAGCTTACCCGGTGCTGGTGAAGCTTGCCACAGCCGCCGCTGCCGCTGCCGCCGCCGCCACGGCGCTGGCCCATATTCTCGTGATGGCCCTCATGTCCACAACTCCCACAGTCCACCCGCAGCGGAATAAACCAGACTGCGAACAAACGCCTCTCTCTCTCTCCCTCTCAACCCCTCCCTCGCTCGCTCTCCCCCCCCCCCCCCCCCCTCTTTTTTTTGGCCCTATTTCCCTTCCCGGACCAACGGTTGCCACCGGGGGTTGGGCCGTCCCCGCCAGCGGCTTCCCTTTCCCCCCATTGAATTTTGAAAAAAGAAAAAGAGGGGGTGACCCGCGAC